TAAACCCCAAACCCGAAACCAACAAACCCTAAATCATGAAACCCAAAAATCACTGAGCCCCTGAAGTGTGTATGAACTCCTATAGATCTCTTATAAGTTCCTACGGATTTCTTGGGATTTTGAGGGTACCTCCGAGCTAGAGCCTTGGCTTTGCTGTCCTCAATGCATTGGGCCGGTGGTTCAGTGTTCAGGGACGGGGATCTGCAATGTTGTTTGACTTGTTTAGGGTTTAGGGTTTAGTAAGGGTTCAGGGTTTGGGGTTTAGTAAGGGTTCAGGGTTTAGGGTTTAGTAAGGGTTCAGGGTTTGGGGTTTAGGGTTCAGGGTTATGGGTTTAGGGTTTTGGGTTCAGGGTTAAGGGTTTTGGGTTATGGGTTTAGGGTTTAGGGTTAAGGGTTAAGGGTATATTAATTTGATGAGACAGAACTGTGCCGCCAAGACCAGAATCAGCCACGATGCGGACGGCTGTAGACGCTGGCCCCAGATCCACACAAAAGCCCCAGATGATGGTCTACATATGGGCCGTTTTCTAAATTAGGGTCCCCTTTAGGGTCTTTTGTATAAGGGTGCCGTACTTTATTGGGACCTAAAGAAGGGACCCTTATTTAGAGAACTACCCATGTTGGTCTTTGGGATTGAGCCCCATACCCAAGGCCCCAAGGCCTCACCGAGCTCACATAGAATTGCCCTGGTAGGATGACTTCATCTGGGCTTACTTGGAGGTTCATGGGTAGTTATAAGTTATAAATGGGGTTATAAGTAGGGCAACTATACATATTAGGGGACTTACAACCCCACTTATAACTTCCCATGAACCTCCAAGTATGGGTCTAGGATTTTCGGCTTAAGGCCTTAGGATTCGTGCTTTCCTGGCACATGCACCTATGGGCTCAAGCCCAAACCTGGTTTTCCTGCTAGGGCGTAGAAAGGTAAGCAGAAAAATGCGTACAATGGCCCAGGCCTGACGCGTTCGTTAGGGTTGTAGTATCTTGGGCTCCATAGTAAATTCCTTTTTGGGATTACCTTATCGGATCCTAAATACAAACCCACAAAAAGGAACCACTATGCACCCTATGGGTAGATCCATATGGTATAAGTATAAGGCGAGGTTGTTGAAGAATGTTTGAGCTGCAGGTTCCAAGATCCTGGAAAGATATGAGAGCAACCTTTGCGTGATCATTGCAGACATCATGCTAACTTAGGGGTAGTTCTCTAAATTAGGGTCCCTTTTAGGATCCTTTTTATAAGGGTGCCGTACTATATAGGATAGCGGACCCCAAAAAGGGATCCTAATTCAGAGAACTCCCCATAGGGTCTTGGAGAAGGGATTGGGTTTTGGGTCGTATCATACTATCGTTTTGTGGCCAAAAAGAGGCTATCATGACCGTAGTTTCATCTTCACGTAGCATGGGCCGAAGGGTGGACACTGACCTAACCCGTAGGGCCGTTGCAGGCTGAGCATATTTGTAAACCCGATCCGCTTAGTAAGAACATCAATGATTACCACGCAGACTGCCTTTTTCTTGTGATTTCTGCTTTGATTTGAGCAGAGCCCGAAGTCTTGATCACACACACCTGGAGCTTCAGCGTTTGGGAGGGTTTTGGGGTTGAAGACTTTTGTCTTGTGGTATCCGAAGCGAGAGTCTTGCACCGTTTTGTAGATTGATGTTTGTAGTTTTAGAGCTGCACTTCGCTGGCCAATCAGCAGAAGACCGATTTCAGCTGTTCGCCTGGTTCGAAGTCGACTTCCGCGGTAACATTAATAGTATCAGCAACCGTGTCGCATGTCGCGCAGAGCCGCGTGTCTGCCATGAACCGAAATTGATATGATGCCTCTCCTAGACGACCTGCCTTGCACCTGCCGAATGCATTTCTGACGACTACCTATCTCCGAAGGCGTTTTAAAGGGAATACAGTATAGGGTTTAGGGCATGTACATGTGGTATCGCTACGTAGTGCACAGTGTAGTGTCTTTCGAAGCCTTTATATTACCCTAAACCCAAAACCCCATCGGCTTGAGCCACGTGCTTACTACCCCCCAGTTGGCTTTCCTTCGATGGTGGAGGTTGGAGGGTTAGGTAGGTTGCTTATAGTGCAGTACAACTCAGATCTTGGAGATTGTGGCTAGTGTAATGTTTGGGTTCGCATTCGCAAGTTTGCCGGTTCGAGAATCGTCTCTCACTTCGACTAGTTCTGAACCACTGTGGCAATTCGGTGCATAAGATGCATATATGACTGTTCTTCTCGAGACCGCAGTTGCCCCCAAAAACTATCGACAACAAGCATTGTTGATGCACGGCGCCGAAAGTAGCCGAAATAAAATGCTTCTTGGGGATAGTCCGCTTGCCGAACCCAGCCGAGATTGACCCAAACCTAAACAACCAGCCGAATCGCAGCAACAGCACAGAAAAGGAAACGGAATACGGAATGGATCTTGCTCAGAACTTGAGTGCCCAAATCCAAAGCTGACCCCTATAGATGCCCTAGACCGTGCAGACTATGCTCTGAACCTGAACCTTGAACGCTCCTCCCTGAGCGTTGCAGAGCACCGTTCAGCCCAGGTGGGATGCTCTACTTGATCATCTGCATGCTGCAAGTAAAGCATTCACTGCCGTCATTGAGCAACGATTCCCTCCGGCCCAAGCCATCCGACCAGCACTGGACGGGGGGTACTTGCGAAGTGGTGTTTCGTAGCTTCGGAGACGTGGAAGTTGCTACCTAAACCCTGAACCCCTAATTTGCGCAAGCGTAGGCGTAAATTGCGCACGACCGTATGAGCCTCAGATGTAAACCTCATTCTGGAACCCTAAACCTTAAGCCTTAAACCCTAAGCCCTACCCTTAAACCGAAAGCCCTATATCATATATCTCAAACCTTCACTCCGATCGCAGAATTTGGAGCCCGGGGCATGAGAGGCTCTGGTAAAGTCGGAACCTAAATAATTCCCAATGTGGGGTGCAAGGGCCAGGATGTCTTAATCAGGCTCCTACATTCTACCCCCATTTAACCACTCTATACTCTATACCATTTGGAAGGTTTCAAGGCTCACAGCATTATTTGGCTCGTCCTTTGCGAAACCCTAAAACCTAAACCCTAAACCCCTAAGCCCTAAACCCTAAGCCCCCTAAGGCCCTAAACCCTAAACCTCTAAAAACCCCTAAAAACCCCTAAAAACCCCTAAACCCTAAACCATGTTCAAAGTCCATGCTAGGACTCAGTGGCAGCATCCGTCAGGGTTTCGGCTTCAGGCTTCCGGTCCTAGGCTTTGCCCTGAACCCCAAATCATTAATTTAGGGTTTAGGGTTTAGGGTTTAGGGGTTTAGGGTTTAGGGTTTTAGGGTTTAGGGTTTAGGGGTTTAGGGTTTAGGGGTTTAGGGTTTAGGATATCTTTAGTGCTAAGTTCTAAGTGACAGAGGATTTCCGACACACAGCTCATGGATCAAGGCTCATGTCTTGTCGCTGAGAGGTCTCCGTAGGAGACTTGCAACCTGCTTGAGCGATCACGAGTTGAGGCCCGGAGTACTGTTTCCCAGCGCGTCTGCCTGCGAAAAGTCCCTTTAGAAGACGAGGTGTCGGATAAACATTAAGGCCTAAATCTACCCAATACGCACTACAGGAAATTTGTTGTGGTTGTGTGTGTGTGTGTCTTTAAGTGCTGCTTTTCCCTAGGGCTCCAGTTACCTAAATAGTTGGTTGCTGGGGTACATAATATATTAGTATATGGTTAGTAACCCACTATTTAGGTAACTGGAGCCCTAGGGTTTTGTAAGGAGCAATTGGCTCTTTGGTTCTCGGGAATTCTGCAAGCGGATTGGTCGTCATTGCAGTGTGAAGGATGCCGCCATTACCCGGTGTGCTTCAGTGCTTGTCTCTTTCGCATTGCAGTCGACATTTCGGGTTCTGAAACCCTTAGCCCTGAAGATTGCGCATCGCGAACAGATTTTTGCAAGGTCTTCGAATCGATGGTTTGTGTTTGCTAGTTGAGGCTGTGAGTTTTAGGAATCGAAAGTATTGTAGATGATGCCCGACACACCGACGCCCAGATTGGGTTTCAGAAGGCAAGGAACGTCAAAAAAAGCAGCAGATCAGTAGATCTTTATCTCGGGAGACGGCACAGTGCAACCCCTACGTTATATCCCTTCTGCCCTAAACCTCTACCAATAGGCCCCTAAGAAGTTCCTTTTTATGGTTTGTATTTAGAATCCTAAAAGGTAATCCCAAAAGGGAACTACTTAGGTAAACCCTATGCAGAACCTAAACCTCCACCAACTCAGGACGTCATCTCTCTTCTCCGCGAGTTCCATCATAAGCGAAGCTTGGCCGATTTTGCTACCGAACCTCGAAGCCTGAGCCGCTAAGGGGAGCACACCCAACGAGGCCGATCTTGAAAACTATGTACGTTGAGCAGTTCAGGATTTAGGGTGAGGTTAGGGAGAGAAGTCTGATGGAGCATCAAAATCCGAAATGTTAATGTGCTTAGCTTAAGAACCCCGAACAAGAAGCCATCAGTCGCCGCAGTGTAGTTGGACCCGTCCAGCAACATCTCATGTAAGACTTTTAGCCCCATAGTGCAACAAGAAGCAGAGCTGAACTGCTCCTTTAAACACCCTGTGCGGAATTTCAGCGAAAAGTATGTACTTGATGTTGCTACCTTATTAACAGGAGGTTGTAGAGAGATGTATCAGAGCAAGCAGTCTGTAGTTTTCTCAGCGAAAGCCGACTTTACATTTTTTCAAGGCTAGGAACAAGTAGTGTTCATTCACGTGCTTAGGCTCAGGACGGCTTTCTTGATGAATCTGGGGCTTCCTTGCCTGGCACTACTAGGATGCGTTAGCCCCACTTCGGTTCATTCGGTGGTCGGAAGCTTTGAGGCAAAAGACGCCAGTATGCGTTCCATGCAGCTGGAAAGCCTCTGCCCAAAGCCATCAGTAAGCCTCCATCCATCCGACTCTGGCGCCTGGGTTCAGGGTTCACAGGATTTAGTTCAGGGTGGAATGAGGAGAAGATCCGCTATTTCGCTTTCATGATCCACTATAACATGCCGTTTGTGGACGACATTCGCATCATTGTCGACTGGACCGTGGTGCGGGCCTCAAACGCAGGCAGAGGTGGTGCCTCCACATTTGGCAAGGGATAGGGTTTCGGCTAGAACACGATACTTCTTATATCAAGAAATACACTATGTCAAGAAATACACCTCGAGTCATAGTTACTAAACACTTTTTAATTGAAGGAGTGCTGCTGATTTATGGCGGGCTTTCTGTGGCTTGTTATGACTGGAGTTGTAGCAAGAAGAAGGGCAACTGCAGCTAAGGCTAGTACGCTAACGGGTCAGCAATGCACGGAAGCCGTACATATCCCCTGTGCACCCTACACTGCAGATATTCCCAAATTCCCACACCACTGCATGTTCTTTCAGAGTAGGTGTGCACACCTTATGTCTGTGTGTATATATACATATATATATATATACCGTTGACGATGTATGAAAAAGCGTGTGTCTCTCGCTCTCTCTCTCTCGCTCTGTGTGTGTGTGTGCGTGCGTGCGTGCATACGCGCGCGTGTGTGTGTGTGTGTTTGTGTGTGTGTGTTGTGTGTGTGTGAGAGTGAGTGAAGGGTTGTGTGTGTCTCTGTGTGTCTGTCCGTCTGTCTGTCTGTCTGTCTGTCTGTCTGTCTGTCTGTCTGCATGTACCGATATTTCTAGATTGTGTGCCTATGCTTGGGTTTGTGGAGTGTTTATGCATGCTTGTGTGTGTGTGTGTAGGATGCATGTATGCATGCATGCATGCATACATGCATGTATGTATGTATGTTTGTTTGTTTGTTGGTATGTATAGACTTTAAATCCAGCCATGCATGCATGGATATGTGTATGTATATACGTATGTACATATACAAACACACACACACATATACACACACACACACATGTACTTACATTAACATACGTTCGTTTTGGGAATGTTTGCAGGTTGAGGGTTGAGAGTCGTGGGAATTTCATTTTCCCGGTTCAAGGCTCAGGCGTCATTAATTCAGGGATGTCTAGACTCAAAACCGCAGTATTCTCGCAACCCCAAGCCCAATCCCCGACACGTTTTGCAACGAAAAAAGTTGCAAAGCCCTCAACCCTAAGGCAAAAGAATCAGCTGCATAAACCCTAAAGCAAAAAATACTCCAACCAACGGGCGTAAACCCCAAACCCCCAAAACCCCTAAATCCCTGAGCCACAGAGCGCAAAGGAAACAAGCAGACGTCTCTTTGGCTGGGGATTAGCTTCATCTGGGGGTTTCTGAAAACAGGGTTCCTTCCATGATGATCAGACAACATAGGGGTAGTTCTCGAACTGAGGGTCCAAAATAGCATGGCACCCTTATAACAAGGACACTAAAAGGGACCCCCAACTTAGAGAACTACCCTTATAGTACCCTTACAGGTGAACCTGCACAGGGCCCCGTCTAAGATAACCGAAGACTCAGATGAAACAGCAAAGCGCTCCCCCCTTCTCGATACTCTGAAATCAGAGCTGCAACATATGCCCTGCACAAAAACTCTGGAAATTATAGTCTTCGAACTACACCCCAAAAGCCGAAACCCCGACCCAGGCCCCCACGACCCTTGATCTGTGGATGTATTGGCACGTTGGCTGCAGTGGGAAGGTTTCTTAAGGTGCGCTGATGCCGCAACAAGCCCTTGGAGAATCCTGTGCGCGAGTGCGGTACGAAGGAATCTTCATTTTCTGCCTAGGACGAACCCTTAAGCATTCTACCAAGAGAGCCCAATACCCCTGAATTAAGGAATATAAAATCAAAATATTAAGGCCCCTATAATTTAAGGCATATTCCTTAATTAAGGCGTATTGGGCTCTCTGGGTAAACCTGTCAGGGTGCTTGGCACCTCCACATCGGCCTTGAACCCTAAACCCTGAGCCCTACTCCGGGTTTAAGGTTTAGTTTAGGGCTTAGGGTTTAGAGTTCCTGTAAAAGGATCTATAAGGGTCTAGGGTTTAGGGTTTAGTGTAGGGTTTAGGGTTCCTTTAAAGGGATCTATAAGGGTTTAGGGTTTAGGGTTTTAGTTTAGGGTTTAGGGTTTACGGAGCCTCCAAGTGCCCTTTCATAAGGCCCTTGTGGTCCTGAATAGTGGGTATTGAGGGTATAATAGAGGGCAGTTGGGCGGTAAAGGGTGAACCAAGAAACCTAAACTCCAGACCCAAAGCTCTAAACCCGAAGGCCAAAACCCGAAACCTTAACACTTCAACCCTCATGGCGACATCTGCTCCGAAGGAAAGTCGAAGACGCGCACACGGCCTTCTACCGGTCCAGGTCGGGTTAGAGTCGGCTAGAGAGCATTCATGCACCTAGATGCGGAAGGTTTCTGAATTCGAGGGTTTATAGGTCTTTATCGGATTCGGAGTTCTTACCAGAGATCATGAGGTCCTGACTCGGTCCAACACTGCTGCGGGACTCCCTTGCAGGCACATGTTTCGTTATTACTGCATTCAACAAAGGACTCTCGCATGTCAAAAAACCCGGCTATAACTTTTCACCGGAAACCCCGAAACTCCCTAACCCTAAACCCCTCTTCCACTAAGCTCAAACAAACCTCCAAAAAATCTCCGAACGTCCTGAAAGCCCACAATCGCTTTCGGAAGTTTGGTCGTCAATGACGGCAAACTCAAGGCTCAAGGGACAAGTCGTCAGGGTTTCAAGTGGCTGTGGTGGTACCAGGGCCGTAATAATGAGAGTAGAGTTTTAGGGACTTGGGGTCTAGACGGGTATAGTATGGTTTAGGGTTTAGGGTTTAGGGTTATGATCCAGTATACAAGAATGAGATAGGGAACTACACGGGAAAAGGGCTGCACAGAGGGTCTTGAGACCTACTAAGTAAGGCTGAAACTACCTTCTCTTCGTGCGGTGCATAGGTGCCTGTGAGCAGAACTATGTTGATTCTATCTAAGTCCTACGATCCTTGAAGTATGAACCCTTAAGGTGTATTCAAAACATAGTGGGGATCCCTTTATAAGCTAAGGTCGTACGGGGTCGGAAGTTTTAGGAGGAAAGGATCCCCCAGATAGTCTCTATGCGCTTCTGAAATAGTCTACCCCAACAACCCTTTCATCATGCATAGTTACATCCCCACAGCACATTCCTTCTCTGAATGGCTTTTCTCGGGTTTCTGCGTCCCCAAAAAACCCGAATCCCGCCAGGCATGTCATGTTCGTTCGGAGCCAGTCGTACTATGCCGAAGAGCGAGATCCTCTCGCCTCTTTGCTCGCAGTTTCAGCCGGCTCAGAAACAGATCTGGCTTAGGGTTTAGGGTTTAGGGCTTATAGAGTTTAGGGTTCAGGGTTCAGGGTTCAGGCTTAGGTAAGTAGTACTATGGCCCTTTCAAGTCCCGGCATAAAGGCACGATAATCTTCCCAAGAGCACTTTTGGTGGATTCAGGCCGTGTCCCCACGCCCCAAAGCTTAAGTCTTCCTACTTACATCCCACGCCCTACTACAGACCCCCACTGCCCAGCAACTATATTCCAGACTTTTCATCCGTTCTAACTCCCAGCCAACACCCGCCCAGCAAGGGACCCGAACTACCAAAACCCTGAAGCCCTAAACCCTCAGCCCTGCTGTTGATGATATAAATCCTGCATTACCTTAAGGACCCTAACCTATAAGAATTATGGCATATTCCTTACTTTGGGTACTGCAGGATTTATACCATCAACCGTAAGACCCGAAATCGAGACCCATATATTGTCTCAGGAGAAGATCTACAGCGGATGGGCGATCCTGTGCCTAGCCCCTTGGACCTGCACCATGAAATAGACGGTCCTTAACCCCTAAACCTAAACCCTAAACCCTAAAACCCTATAAACCCTATAAACCCTGTAACCCTAAACCCTACACCCCATAGTAGAAGAGGTTTGCCCAAGCGTTCAAGGTCGTGGGGTTTGGGATTTAGGGGGTTGTTTGATTGACGTCTCATGGTTTAGGGTTGAAGCAGAAGAAAGAGCCTTCTTAGAGGGTCTTTGTTTTACCGAGTTCGGGATAGGTACTCGTAGTATTCACCGAGATTACATATCTTTCTGTCTACCCATCTATCTATGTACGCACCTATATACGTTCTATCCCTGTAGGGTCTAGGCTGTGGGTAAGGGACGTCGGGATAAAAGTCGGGGTCTGGTTCAGGGTTTGCAAGGCTTACGGTTTGCTTGATATAGGACAATGAGCAGATTGATACCCTATTTATGAGACAACCCAGAACAGGCTCAGGATGTAGGTCGTGGCTTTTAGGTTTGAGGCTTTACGATGTAAGATGAAGGGTCTAGGGCCTAGGGGTTTGAGGGTTCGGGGATAAAGGTCTTAGGTCCTAGGGCCTCAGGGTCCCTGGTCTGGTCGTCGTACTCGGGTGTCTCTTGTCTCGTTCGGATGTTCGGGGGCATTTTAAGGTTTCAGGTTTAGGGTTCAAGGCTCAGGGTTCAAGGTTCAGCAGGGGGGGGGGGTTATTGTTGGTATCTGCTAGCTGGAAGGATTGTCAGTCAGTACCTGGTCATCTCAACTTGGAAGCCGTCATGACTTTATCAGCCATAGAACCCTCAACCTGGAGACCTATGGTGTCCCATACCTTGAATCCATGCATACATAAAGCCTACCCACATAGGCTCCTTAGTAGTTCCTTTTTGGGAGTGCCTTATAGGATCCAAAATATAAACCACAAAAAGGAACTGCTATGGAGCCTATGGGTACGCCCTGCCCCTCAATAAAGCACCCGAGCCCCAAAGCCCTGAACCCTGAAGTCCTGTGCCACCGGCATCCTATGACCTTCAAGACGAAATGAAGCCAAAAGGGTTTAAGGTTCATATACCATTTAGGGATTCATAGTATAGGGGTATAGGGCCTTTACTTTGGAGGCTCCTTTGGTCCTTAAGAGAAGCCCATCCCCACATGTAGAGACTTAACGCAAGGAGGGTTCTGGGTTCCCTTCGGCACGTATAAAGGGGTTTGATATTCGAAGTTTAAGAAACCCTAAGCCCTAAGAGTTATGGTAGGCTTGTGCCCGACCGCTGCAAGCATTCGGAATCTGATAAAGGGGTTTGCAGTTCGGGTGGTCTTAGGGTGTGGCATTCAGAGTTTAGGGTTTAGGCTTTGGGGGTTTGCTGCTGACATGCAGGTGTACAAGTTCTTAGACATTAGAGTTCGCGAGTTCTGGGCTGTATAGCTCGTACGGTTTATTAGAGCTTCAGGGTTGCAATCGCCCCACTTAGTTTGAAGAACTGGAAGCGTCAAGCCCCAATACATGTTCGACTGGGAGCTGGGGGGGGGGTGCCAAGCTTCATGCTCAGGGTTTAGCGCTTTGGGGTTTAGGCCTTTGGGGTTTAGGGTTAAGGGTTTAGGGTTTAGGCCTTTGGGGCTAAGGGTTAAGGGTTTAGGGTTTAGGCCTTTGCGGTTTAGGGTGTAGGGTTTAGGCCTTGGGGGTTTAGGGTTTGGGCCTTTGGGGTTTAGGGTTTAGGGCTTTGGGGTTTAGGGTTTACGGTAGGTCAGGACCTGTAACAAAGACCCTCGGCCCTCTTAGACCCTATGAGCAGCAGTCTAATCCTTATAAGATTCAGAACCCTGTACTATGGGGCTGACTAGGTAACCTTGAACCTTTTTGGGGCGTTTATAACCCTACTATATCAAAAGTTTAACCTTTTTTGGGCTCGGGTACTCAGCCCCTAAGTATAAGAACACGATAAGCAGCTTTTAGGATATTCCCAAGCCGAGGATCCCTTTCAAAAAGGACCCCGCCATGACTGTTCAGGTGTATATGGTCGTTACTTCCAGCATTGGGGCTTAGTTTTTGGCAAGGTCCTAAACTGTAGATTTCTGAACCCTAAACCCTAATCCCTAAACTGCAGATCCCTAAACCCTAGTCCCTAAACTGTAGATAGCTCAAAGACCGGCAGAGACATTCAAACCTCGATGGAAGAACTCTGTTCTCAGGTGGTTCTGGTCATCCTGATGCCCATCATCGTCTTCTCTCCATTCTCGCCATTTCCGAACACCGCTACTTCGCTAAACCCCGAGCAAACTCCCTAGCACCGTAAAAATCGAGAACCCCCAGAGGCCGCGAAACCCTGACCCTCATGGAGGCCTGGCCCCTAAACCATACACCCTTGATTAAACCCCGGAGCCCCTAGGCCCTATCCTAAACCCCCCCAAAACCCTGAACCCCAAACTCCTGAACCTGCCTCTGGTCATGCATGATTTTACAGCTTAGAGCGATCTGGGACTTCACAGGGCTTTTTGTCGGGCTTACCGGGTAATACGCTACCTCTTTTTTTAAGGGACCTACTTTTCAATATAAGAGATCCGCGTTCTCTGAAAAAGATGTAGGATATGACCCTCAGGATTCCATGTTTCAGCAGTGCGGTTGAAGCTTTCTTCATAGGGTTGAGCCATGTTTATTCAGATATTGCCTTGATGAACAAAAACACCATTTTGTAAGGACCAAATTCCCGCGATAGCCCTAACTGTCCACAGTCTGCACATATGGCTTGTTGCTTTGCTTGCATGTTCTGTCGCTTTTTCATCACTCAGCCCCGTAGCTGTAGAACACATTCACCCGGAAACGATGAACTTCAACCAAAGCAACAACCTACCAGACACTTCATCCCTCTACTAGACCGATCCCTACTTTTAGGGCCCATACATACCCTTATTGAAAGAAGCCCTGGTGCGATTTTCTCCCAGGTGTTGATTGACGAGGCGACGCTAAGCCTGGAGCTGACCGTGGCTAGCGCTTGCTACGGACCCGTGTGCTTACTTCAGTGTTCTTCGAACTATCTTATGATAAAACCCTAAGGGTCCAAGTACTCCTTGCTATAGGGGGTTTGCGCTGTTTTGGTACCCAAAGCCGTATCCCAAATCCATCCAAATCCCAAAAGATTATTTAAAGCCATATGCTTTTTGGTGCTAAGGATGCACAAGCCTCGGCTTCGGAATTTGTGAGGTTTAGGGTGACCTGTGAACAGCTTGGGCATCTTAGGGTTTCAGTGTATCTTTGAGGTTTGTTGGGGCGTTGTGGAATTGGGGATGAGCTTTGCTGGAGGGGCAGCGTGTCACCGATTCGAGGAATTCCTGGAAGAAGTTAGGGTGCTAGTAGTTCATAGGCTACTTAAAGTTTCTTGTTCACGTTCTGAGGGTTTGAGTCATGTGAGATGAGTGGTGCCAAAGAAGATGCCCCCGATGTATCCACCGCTGGCGAGCTTGCTGCGCCTGCTGCTGATGCGTTCGAAGTGGAGGATGAAGCGCGCTCGCCGGCACCAAGCACCATCTCAGGTGGTCAGGAGGGTTTGGGCATCTCTCAGGTCGCGGACGTCGATCCGGGTCCTGTTGCGATGACTGCTGCGACGCGCGTCCCGGCAGTCGACGCGGCGGGTGCCCGAGGACACAACTGGAATGGAGAAGACGGAGGAGAGGAGCTGTATTGGGGCCACAAGACACGGCGCGTGTTCTCTTTACAACCAGCCCGTCCGAGTGCCGGGCGCGCCGATGTGGATTCCTTCTTGCGAGGCTTCTTCGAGACGCGGAAAGGCCCAAATGGCGAATCTGTTTCAGTTAAGGGTTCTCGCGTTGGGTTAGGGTCGTTTTCGGCTTAGAGGTTTTCGGAATGCGGGCTGGTTGAAAGGGTTGGAGCTACTGAAAGCAGCCACATTAGCATCCTCTCAGGGCCCATGTGCCCATATAGTTATATACTTTAAATTTGACCCTATAAAGTACCTATATGTAGGGACTGATTGCGTTAAGGCGGGTAGCGGATAGTTATACTCTACGAACACATGAACCCTTAGGGTAGGCACATAAGCAGTCGTTTGCAACCTGCAACACACACATGCACGAACCCTAAACCCTAAACCCCTAAACCCTAAAGCCCTAAACCCTAAAGCCCTAACCCTAAACTCTAAGTGTACAAGTGTCGAATGCTCAAAGTGGATCCTTCGCCTCATGTTTGCTGGGCATTTTTCTGAGGGACGTTTACAGTATGCTGCCTGCTACCTTGAAGTCGAATCTCAAATTAAACTTTAGGGTTTAGGGTTTAAGGTTTATAGGGTTTAGGGTTATAGGGCCGTAAAAAAAAACCCAAAACCCTAAACCGTGACTTTCCGATTCCCGAATACCCTTACACCCTAAGCTGCTAAGCTTGGCGACTCATAGCTGCAAACCAACTTGGGGACCGGCCCTGTGTATGAGAGGGCCCCGTGTAAGTGGGCACTTTCTCGAAATGTGTACTCGGGGTTCGTCCAGTGCATCATGTTCTTGGCGCCTCTTACTAACTTGTTTATAAGACTCTTTCGAGACTTCACCTGTCTCGTAGCTTCCCAACCAGACTAATCATGAAATCAGGGAGCCCGTTTATATTGGATTCAACAACAGTTGAAAGGGTTTGCGGGCCCCGGTCTTAGCACACTACTCTTACCCTAAGGCTCTAAGGACTCATATTTTAAGGCTTTTGGGCCCAAAGACCATACTATAAGCCTTAGGGTTAACTTTGCTCCACTATTTCCAGGGCTTTTCCAGCGCAGCCTTACGTGAGGAGTGGCGCATGAGAGAGAACTTTGCAGGCTGGGCATGCTCGGGCCCGGGGCGATGGGGCAGGGCAAGCTACCCATAGGCTCCAGAGTATTAGGGTTTAGGGTTTAGTGGGTTTAGGGTTTAGGGTTTAGGCTCCCTAGTAGTTCCTTTCTGCAGTTTGTATTTGGGATCCTATAAGGTAATCCCAAAAAGGAACTACTATGGAGCCTATGGGTAGTTCCAAGTCTGGTCAAAAGATTCTTTTCAGGGAGTATGATTATGGCTACAAGTAACTTAGGTGGGAGTAGTACAGGTGATACACGTAGTCGCCCTGGTTATAAGTCTACTTGCTCATTTTTCGGACGTTTTGAAGCCTTCAAGTATCCTGGATTGTTGGGAGGCCCCGATGTCCTAAAACAGGCGGGGAAATACCACTGTAAACCTCTAGGTAACCCCGCAACTAAACCCTCACTTGCAACAGGAACTGCGGGAGCTCTCAGAGGATCTGGTCTGGAGGTCCATACAGAAAGAAGCAAACCCTAAACCCCTAAACCCCTAAGCCGTAAACCCTAAATCCCTAAACCCTAAATCCCTAAACCCTAAACCTCTAAACTCTTAACTCTAGACCCCTGAACCCTAACCCCTAAACCCGAAACCCTAAACCCTGCGCCGGCCCGTTCTCCCAGGGTACCGGGTAAAGGTACACCCTACGCCCGATACAGCGCACGTCACCACACTGCATCAAAATCTCAAGCCTAAGGCTCTGAGGACTCATAGTTTAAGGCTTCTGGGCCCAAAGGCCATACCATATGAGGCCTTGGGGCTATACTACTTTAGGCCAAGTATCTCAAACCCCAGTCTGCGAAAGGTACGTGGCACTGCAGCTGTTCGAGTCGCCAGCATCGCAGATCCAGAACTACAACAACTCAGCGAAGCAGCAGTATCTCAGGCACCAAGCTCTTGACCCTAAACAACCTAAGCCTGAACCCTAATGCAGGACAGTAAGCCCTAAACGCGCAAGTGCACATGCAGAAACTCAGGGCTGTTCGGAGTCTCCCAAAGCTTGGCCACCCGAATTCCTGAAAGTCCCTGTGCCTTTACTTCTTAATTAGTATTATAATACAACAGAGTGTAATATAATATCCTACAGCTTCTTTATATTATTTGTTTGCGTCTTGTACCTGTGAGCTCCGATTTCGGGGCGGCCTTTCGTGGATTCGGGGCGGCGCGTAACTCGGGTTGCTACTACTGACCAGGCCCATACTAACAAGAACAAGAACATTATTAGTAATAGCCATAGTAAGAAAATAAGAAGAATAATGGCAATAATAACAATAATACTAATCACAATACTAATTCTACTAGTAACACTACTACGACGAAACGAATAATACGCATACTGATAACCTGCTCTTCGTGCTTTAAGGTTGGAGTTCAATACGTCTTAACACAGGACCGCTCGATGTTTGGAGGGTGTTTCGTCATTGTTGAAATCCAAAAAACACTACACCCAAGAGACAGGGCTCTGCCAGGTTTCGGGCAAGAGAAAGGTCTGAATGAGTGGTGGTATTACAGTATCTTACAGTCACGTATAAGCATTTGTAGTATAATGTACTCCATTGCACTCCCACAAGTCTGTCTGATTGTTACGGCTCTTTTATTGCTCCCTTGCCTTTGAGAATGTCGCAGTAGCCTTTTGGATTGTTTTGTTGGATTAGAGCTGAATCAGTTGGTGAGAGGTGTAGGGTGTAGGGTCATTGGTTCAGGGAGTAAGGTTTAGGGGAAGATGGGCAGGAGGTTCAGGGTTGCGGTGAGAATGAGAAGACCTGGCTGGCAAGGGACAACCCTCGCGTCAACACGGACATAGACATCCAGGCCGGTTCCCGGGCTTCGGGCTGCATATCGATCCTTCCTCTGGAGCTGTATAGTCTTGGTCGGAAGATGTACATAATCACGAAGGACGCCTGTTTTGTGTTTCCGTTTTCGTGCTGTAGGGGCATCTATGCTTAGCCACAGTATTGCTTTGGGCTTCTTATTCGTATAAGTCAGTATTTTGCACTGTTCTAATTGGTACTGTGAAGTCCAGAAAGTTGGATCTTGAATTGAGCATGAATCTGGGTGCAAGGGCTCCCTATGCTTTACCTTCATCGCATCAGGGCCACTTTAGTCCCGACTATCCCAACAGCTGTGGAAAACAGTTCTTAGCAGGTTAAGGTAAGCCATACCTAGAGGGGCCGCATATACTACCTTTATGGCACTTTATGGCATTACTAGATTCCAAAAAAGCCATCCCTAGTATGGTCTCACCTAACTCCAGAATAGACATGGACCCTCTTGGATGCAACCCCCTTGGAGGTTCATGGGTAGTTATAAGTGGAGTTTTATTCCCCTAAGCAGGGTTATGAGTATAGTTACCCTACTTATAACCCGACTTATAGCGCATAACTACCCATGAACCTCCAAGAACCCTAACCTTAAACCCCGACTGGCACCCTTCTTGGGCAGCTCTCTAAATTAAGGTAGCTTTAGGTCCGCCGGCCAAACGTCACGGCACCCTTATAAATAAGGATCCTAAGGAGGGACCTTTGTTTTAAAGAGCACTACTCCCTTCAAGCAACCCTGTAGGCTCGGAGAGTCCAGAATCTAGAGGTCTTTTCGCTGCAGGCTCCAGATTCGGCTGTATAATAAACCAAGAAAAGCCCGAAACCCTAAACCTCATAGGGATCTGTGAGAGTTCACGGTTTAGGGTTTAGGGTTCCTTCAAGAGACCTAGATGGCTTCATTCACTTGGGCCCTGCATCACCCAGAAGAACAACAGCGACAGCCCAAGACCCTAAACCCTAAGCCCTAAACCCTAAACCCCAAGACTGTAGGTTCTGCAGGGTTCATGCAAGGTTGAGGGGTTCCTCAAGGGTTCTTCACAGAAATTCTTAGTGCTTCTTAAACCCCTAAGCCCTAAACCCCTAAACCCCAATCTCTAGACCCCTAAACCCCTAAACCCCTAAACCCCTAAACCCTAAACCCTTCTGTAACCCCAAGACTCCATGCACCTATATCGTATATAGTTTGGCCACAATGAAGGGGTTCCTACATAGGTACCTTAAAGGCGTGAGTACCTACTATATAAGTAAGTTTTGCATGGGGCCTTCGGCAAGCCCCTTTGGGTGTCGAATGGACTTCAGATCGCTATACACTTTAAGGTATACTTGTCATACCCCTGTGTGGTATTTTTCAATCGTACCGATAGATGGACTGAAAGGAAATACCTTCACTAATTGCTACTCACCATTACATGATATACTTCAGCCGCAGTTGCCTTAAACCCCGAAATCACCTACTGTAAACCCTGAACCCTGAACCTCAGGCCCTAAGATCCACATACCCCTACCTACGTAATGCGCTTCAAGCATCTTAAATCTATATTCGGAGGTTCATGGTTATATGTGGGGTTATAAGTCCCCCAATGTGGGCTATATTACAAGTATGGTTACCCTACTTATAACCCTACGTATAACTACCCCTAAATCCTAAACTAAACCCTAAAACCCCTATGGAACCCTTTAAAGGAACCCTTAAAGGAACCCCATAACCCATGAACCTCCAAGTTCAAGGGCAACATGGGAAGGCCAGAGCCAAACTGACGAGCCAGACCGCAGCCCTCATTGCACCCGCGGACAGAGCTCGGGGACCCTAAACCCTAAACCCCTAAGCCCTAAGCTCTAAGCCCTAAACCCAAAACCCTAAACCCTAAACCCCTAGGCCCTAAGCCCGAAACCCTACTCAGCTGAGAGATGCTGAGAGTTGACTCAGCCCTTATACAGGCACCTTCAAGCCGATCCGTTGATGGAGCCGTAACCGTAAACCCAAACCCAAGCCCGGAGCCCTATTTTAAACCACGTGAAAAACTTGCGAAACTCTTCACTTCACGCGTAAAGCCTTGGCCCTAAACCCTAAAACCCTAAACCCCTAAAACCTAATCCCTAAAACCTTAATCCCTAAAACCCTAAAGCCCCAAAGCCCTAAACCTTTAAGCCCTAAAACCCTTAAACCTCAAGAGCCCGGTCGCGTTTGCAAAGTTTTTGCAACCCAGGATGCAGTGGGCAACACCTTGCGCCAGTACAGGAACATGAGCTTCTGGGCGGCAGAGAGCACATTTGGGAGTTTAGGGATTAGGGTTTAAGATGAAGCGTTTAGGGTTTAGGGTTGAAGATTCAGCCTTTAGCGTTTAGGGTTTAGGGTTCAGGGTTTAG